TGTGCCTCCTTTTTTATCTGACATCGGCTGCGAGTTCAACAAAATCATTATTTTGGTTTATATATATATATGGTTGTTCATGGTTATGGTTAAAAAATCAAATCGAATCGCAATTCGAACCAAATTGATATTTGGTTTGATTTGGTTTTAACTTTTGAAAAACCGATATTATTTGTTTTGGTTTTACTAAAAAATAACCAAACTGAACCGATAAATTATATATATAAATTTTATAATTATTTATATATTATTCATAAATAAAATATAAATATTTTGTTAAATTTTAAGTAACTTAAGTCTTTAACTCTACCAATTTCTCAAGCCCAACACTTAAATTTTAGCCCAACTATTACAATCATAAGTCCAAGTCTATCAAAATTCATTACTTTAGTCTTCTTACCATACCTTTCATTAGATACACCTTCTCTTAATTGAATCTCTTTGTTTGTGTAACGATAACTTTAGTATTGTTTAATTGCTTAATTGAACCAACAATAGCTTTTCAGTATATTGTTCATGTACTAGGTGTTTGTGTCTAGCAAGGTACATATGTCCTCAAAAATTTATTATATTTAAACTGAAAAAACCAGAAAAACTAAATTAAACCGAACCAAACCGTCAATAACCAAATCGACGGTTATTTTCTTCGTTTGGTTTGGTTTGGTTTTAGATATTTAAAAATCGACTAGGTTGATTTGATTTTGGTTTTAACCAATAACCAATCCAAATCGAACCACGAACACATATGGCTACTAGCTTAAAAAAATAACTTTGACCAACACATAATATATATATATATATATATATATATAAAATTCACAAATACAAAAAATAATTGAAATGTATATACATGATAAATTACAATCATTTTGAGTTCATTCAATACTTTACATTCTGATTTTTTCTCTAATTGCTGGTAGTACAACTGTACAAACACTTCATCACAAACAATAACAATTATACTAAAGGTATAATATATAAATGTGTTATTTAACTTGGATCAACTACCATCTATGTCCTTCGACTTTGGGTGTACACAAGTAAGCATTTAAACTATGCAAAAGTTAAACAAGTAGACATACAAGTCATATGTGACATAGTACACGTAGGATGCCATGTAGGATGCATAACTGCCACGTAGAACGCCACTTATGACACGTGAGTCTACTCGTTCAACTTTTGAATAGTTTAAGTGACTACTTGTGCACACCTAAAATTGGAAGGCGTAGATGCTAGTTGAGGCCAAATTACAAGACACACTTATGTATTATAACTATAAAAAAAAACTATAGGATACAACAAATGCATGACAATCACTCAATAGAGAAAAACATATACACACCATTCACCACACCATCTTGTTATGGCGTCGGATCGATCACACGTTCATGTATGATCGACCACTGTTATATTCCTGCCGCATATGGTGGTGCCGATGGGACACCACCATTAGCTGGTGGTGCCAATACGACACCACCATCAGTGGCTTGGTTAGTAGAATTTGGAAAAAGGCTCTGGTTGTCTGGCTTGTCCCGAAGATAGAAGCAAATTGATATTCCTATCGATACCAAAAATAGAAGAGTAATAACAAAATATAGTATTGTTTTGCCATCCATTCTATAGTCTTATACACCTTAAATTACCTCTCTAATTCATTCTATAAATATACATGAGTTAGGCTGAACCCTTCTATTATCCCCCCACCCCCATTTTTCATGACAAATTAATTCATGTTAACTTCTCTGTTCGTTCTAATTTGTTTGTTCTGTTTTGACTTGACACAAAATTTAAGAAAGTAAAGATGATTTTCGTGATCTTAAACTAAAAATATGTCAAATGTACAACGATATCTTTTAGAGTTTGTTTAGATCGAATTTTGTCTTATTTTTATTATTTTGACTTAAAAGCAAGTGCTTATTTTATTTTACCCAAACACTATAAATGGCTTAACCATTATTTTGGCTTAAAAACACCTAGAATAAGTCAATCTACACAGACTAGGTTGGATCCTAGCTAGTGTAGACAAATGTTGTCCGACTTGAATGATTGAATTTTTCGTTTAGAGCTTCGCACGAAATATCCACTTACAAACTGATCCGAGTTTGAATTAGGGAACAAACGATAGTAGCTCCAGGTTGGTAGTTCTTTGACCCAGTCCAGTGAGATCGGAACATAACTCTTTGAAGTAGATGTTTAAGGAAGTTTCTAAATGCTTACTCCAAAAGAGTAAGGAGAAGAGCTGCTTTAATCATGCGGAATCATAGCTCTTGGATAAGAAGGCAGAAAGAAATTCACACCAAGATTGAAGAAGCGGATTTGATAGAACCAGAATCACTTTTAATCTTGTGATCTTAAATATGTGTAGAAAATTGAAATTAAAAAATTGTCATAAAATAAGACAAATAAATTAAATGGAGAGCATAAATCAAAGAATGTCAACTGCTTGCTAGGTGACTCGTCAGTTTATGAAAAGAATTAGTTTACTTTATCATCCAACTTTCTAGGTATTGTGCTAAACTCATAAAATATTTTTTTGTACGAACTCATAGTACATCATCAACATAGGGTAATTTATTAATTTAATTAATAAAAGTATTATTTTATACTACTTGAATTTTAATTGAATTACTTAATCTATAACTTGTCCTATTTTAATTTAATTAAGGGAAAATTACGCGTATAAGCAAATATATACTAGTTAACATAGTTATAGTTTGCTTTAATTACAATTCGCGACCTACTTTTAGTTATAATCACGCGGCTCAACTTTTTAGTTTTGTATAATTCAAAATTTATATAATATAATTTGTATAACTTTTGTATAATACGGAATTTATATAATTGTTTACACTTCTGATGTTTGTAATTGTATCAATTCGTTATTTTGAATTTATACAAAAATATCTGAATTATACAAATGTACCCGTGAATTATATAAACCTGTGAATTATAAAAACGAGGCAACTTAAACTGTAGCTACAGCTCGTAAATATGCAAACTATGCTATGAAACATAATTAAGTTTATTATAGTGGTTATTTGCGAAAGTTCTCCTATAATTAATTAAATCAAATACCTTATACTATTTGAAATTTAAATTTCAAAATTTGTAGGTTTTAAGTGACTTTTTCATAAAAAGGGAAAGGGGAAAAAAATATAAAATCTGGTTAATTATGACAGAAAAACAAATTTCTGACTTTATCTGCAAACACTTTGCAAAATTAAGTATCTTCATTTCCCTTTCTCCTTGATGTAGAAATAGATTTTCAATCATTCCAGAGGAAGAGGAAGAAAAGTATAGTCAAAACAATTAAAAACCTTATGAAGTAGTCCATATGTATATGAACTTGAAACATTCCAATAATATAAAATAGTACTCCCTTCGTCCCATTTTATGTGAGGTAGTTTGATTCGACACAGAGTTTAAGAAAGAAAGGAAGACTTTTAAAACTTGTGGTCCAAAATGAATGATAGAAATTTGTGTGGCTGTAAATCATTTCATTAAGGGTAAAATAGACATTTTATAGTTAAATAGTTACTTAATATAGAAATGTGTCATTTTTTTTGGGACAGAAGAAAAAGGAAAGTAAGTCACATAAATTGGGATAAAGGGAGTAACTAATTTTATTATGTAAAATAATTAATTAATTAATATTGTTTGTCATGTGTAGGGGTGTTCACGGTTTGGATAAAAACAGATCCAAACTGAAAAATCGAACCAAATCGATTAGATTAATCGATTTTATTTGAGCTTGGTTTGCTTTGATTTTAGATTTTTAAAAACCGATAGTATTTGAGTTGATTATGATTTTGTTTGAAAAAAACCAAAGAAATAACCGAATCAAATCGACAAATGATATAGATATATTTTATTATTATACATACATAATATATTATTTTTTAAAACATTTTTAAATATCTTATATACATTTTAATCAAAATTTATTTATATTTTACTTATGAAAGCAACAATATCCAAAGTGAGAACATTTATCTTATTGGCTTCATGTATATGAGTGTCTATGACAATTCTTTGTGTGATTGAAAATGTCATTGTCTCTTCCTTCTAGGCCAAAATAATGAATTTTGAAACTTTATTCATAGTAAATTCAATAATTGAAAGTTATGTAATGTGAGACATTCTTACTATTTTTCATTTTGAATGGATTGTTGTCACTTTTTCACATTTTGAATGAATTGTTTCTTTTATTTTTGTATATGGTTAATAACCGAACCGAAATCGATAACAATCAAACCGACAAATATATATTATATTTGGTTTGGTTTAATTTTGATAATTTTAAAACCAATTAAGTTGGTTTAGTTTTGACCAATAACCGATCCAAACCGACCCGTGAACACCTCTAGTCACGTGGATAGTCATTTAAGATAATTTAATGTATTATGAATATAATTGAGCTCCAATACAAATATCGAACACTGATAAAAAAATGATTTTTAAGAAACTAGAGAGTTGATTCGCGCTCAACTTGGCTCAAACATGATTAAGCTTGAGTTTCGGATCGACTTGACTCGACCTTATTCACTTATGCTAAAATATTCAGGATATCTCTGAATAAAGAGTTAATACAAGACATAACACATAAATAAACATTTTAACTTGTCCTCAACTGAACAATTTAATTTTGTGGATACACATATAGATACCTCAACTCGTTTTAAATGTGTTGGTTGAACACTTTAACTTACAAAATAATCATCTATGTACCTCTAAAATTTATGTGTCGACGTCGAGTGTCAATGAGATATAGTAAAGACAAGTCAAGGTGTCTAGATGTGCATTCTCAAAGTTGAATTGTTTAGTTGTCAGTTACGAGATCAAGTTAAAGTGTTTATCTATATATTATATCAATATATAAATATTCAATCACTAACTGCTTAAATTAAAAATAGATAAATATGTATAATCGTGTATAATCTATATATACCAACTAGAAAAAAAGTAAACAATAAATTCAACCGGCATTTGAACAATAATAATAGGCTCATAACAATTCTAATATACTCATAAATTTATTTAAAATACAAAAGGTATTAAAGCCTTAACATTTCTAGGAAAATCTTCAAATTTGGAAAGGTACCATTTCCTAGTAGCATAACTCCTCCCCATCAAATAAAATAATGTCCCTATGGTAGAAGAAAAAGAAAACAAAGTTTGGCTAATAAGAGAAAAACCAAAAAATGTGACAATCTCAAAAAGGTAATGTGGACAAATAACTAGGTTAAAGAGGCCATCTTTGGGAATTTTATATCCACTTTCACCCTTTTTCCTCATCTTAGAAAGAATAAAATGGTGATAAAAATTGCCAATAATTCCCACTAAAAATACAATAAAACCAAAATACTTCAAGTCAATTATTGGCTCTGTTGATCCTTTTGTCAAGTGTTGAATATATATTAAGCTTGAAAAGGCTATAAAATAGCTTGAGGAAATAGTAATTGCAGAGTTCATAGCCATGGAACCACTATATTTGTGCACAAACAAAACCTGCAAAATATGTAAATTATATGTTAATACTTAATTGCTAGTCTCTTAAACAATCATTTTTCTCTTTACCTATCTGGACTATCGCCTTTTCGCAAGTTTCATATCTCAACTATCACTCTTTTTGTATTAAAACACATCTCAATATTGATTTGGCCTATACGTGTCAGACTGTTAGTTATCGACTGGGAATAAATATTTGGCCAACTTAGCATCGAAGAATATTTTAATATAAAGAGATCATTAACTCTTAAATAAATAAATAAATAAATAAAAAATTGTGTGTACATTTTGGCACTGTATTTTAGTCTATTTTATTTTTAGTCCTTGCACAGTCAGATTTAACAAGTTTAATCACCATTAAAAAGTGTGGTGAAATGGTATTATGGTAACAATTTCTACATTTTTAATCAAATGTATCGAATTTGAGCCCTAAAATTGACACCCTCTTTAGTAAGGAGCAGAAAAATCTTCCACAGTTAACTTTTTATCATGTAAATCTGAATTAATCAATCCAGTAATATAAAACATTAAATAGTAACAAATAATCTACCTTAATTTCAAAATTATAAATTTCACTTTTTTTTATCTTATCGATGCATATAAGTTAAACTGAACAAAAAAGAGTAAGATGATTAATTACCTCAAGAAGTCTTTTGAAGAGATGAATGGTAATAGCGAAATTAAGCATGAAAAACCTGATTCCACCATTTGGGAATATCCAAAAGAAGCTTAAACATGTAATTAAAGTAGGAGTATAAGCAATAATCATCCCAATTTTGCTTGGGATTTTAGCTTTTTCTTGAGATTTCAAATTCCAAAACTTTGAATATTCAAGATTTTGTTTGCTTGAGCCTTCTGAATAACCCAATATTGCTGAAAATATTAAATTCATCATTATCATAACTTTGATAAATATAGAATTTGGTTCTTCAAATAATATTTCTCTAAATATTTGTGCCATAATTGGTTTCTCTGTTTATTGTTTAGGATGTGTGTGGATTGATTTTTATTGGATTAGGGGTAGAAAAGGACAAAATAAAAATATTTGAGGACTGAAGTGTTTAGAACAATAGCATCTTACAACTGGTTGGCTATAATAAATAATAAGAAAATATGAAATACTAAACTAGATCTACAGGCCAAAAATAAAAATAGAAATATTTTTTTGAAAATACTTTTCAATTTTTCATGTATGATTGATTAATATATATATATATATTATTTTAAAAAAAATATATTGATGAGAAAAGGCCAAAACTAAAAATGAGGATGGAAAAAAAATAAAGATTGTAGTTATCTATTTGCCACGATTCATAACTACCAATCATTTAAATTAATATAATAGTATCTATCAAAAAAACATTTTGCATTTTGTATGGTGATTAGTGATAGTAATGGCTATAAGTAATCGTTATATTGTTAATTGGGGATGATGTTGACTAATGGTTGGATGTTGGTAGTAGCTAGTGGTTTGTGATTGACAGTATATGTTGATGGTGGTAGTAATCAGTGCTGATAATGACTAATAATTGTGGTGAATGATAGTGATGAATAATGACAGTGAGTAGCGATATGTAACATGGTGGTTGATGATGATGATTGGTGGTGGTTGATGATGATGATTGGTGGTGGTTGTGGTAATTGTAGTTAGTGATAATGATTGTTAGTGGTGGCTAGTGATTGTGACAAAAGATTACAGTGATCGGCAACAATGATGGTTGTAGTGGTGAGTGGTGACACACAATTGATAAAGGTGGGTGACAATGACAATAGTTGATAATGGTGGATGATGACAGTAACAATGAATGAATGAATGAAATTGATGAACTACAAATTTTATAGAAATCTTTAAAAAGACACCTTAATGATATGAAGATTTTATTATGAATTTTAATTATTCAGATCTATTCATACTCATTAAGTACGGGTTATCGGTTGAAACATAAAACAATACTTAATGATTGAAATCTTATTTATTAAGATTCATACATTGAACTTGTAATTCTTTTTTATTTCATTTATCACTTTGCCACACCTCTTTAGTCGATTAGTTCCTTTTTATTATGATTCAGCATCTTAAGCTTAGAACAAGTATATATTGAAGATGAATATAAATATATACCCCTTGCGAAGTCAGTCAATTTTATTATGATTCAACATCTTAAACTCAAAAAATATATATATTAAAGACGAGTATAAGTATATACCCCTTACAAAATCGTTTAATTTTTTTTATTAAGATTAAACATAATTTAAAGGATCTACATAAATAACTCATAACTTAAAATACTTGTTCAACATAACCACACAAACAAAAATTGAAGGTCCTATTGCAAGTTATAACCTAAAATATGTAAGGAATAAGTGCCTTAATATCCTTTGGAAAATCATCAAACTTTGACTTGTACCATCTTCTTGTAGCAATGCTCCTTCCCATCAAGTAAAAGATAGTTCCCAAAGTGAATGAAATTGCATATGATGTTTGAGAAGTGCATGAAACTCCTACAAATATAAGAATCTCAAAGAGATAATGTGGGCATGTTGCAAAATCAAATAGGCCACCTTGAGGAATTTTGTACTCTTTTTCACCTTTTGTTCTCAATTTAGAGAGCAAAATATGATGGTAAAAGTTGCCAATTATACCAACCAAAAATATTATGTATCCACTATACTTGAGATCAATGGATGGCTCTGGCAAATCTTGAGAAAGGTGTTGACAATAAATCATGGTAATTGTGGAGAGGAAATAACTTAATGATATTGCAATTGCATCTTCAACATCCATTGAACCACTGTATTTGTGAACAAATAGGACCTAGTATCAACAAAGCAAAGGAATTAGGATTTGTTCAAGATAAGTTTGTAGCTAACTTCACTAAAAGAGACTAGTTTAAATGACACATTTTTTAATGTTTCCCATCCAGTATATATATCTAGTATCCGCTTTGGGACCAAACTAATCAGGGTTAATTCACACCTAGAAGTCCCACTTTTAAGCTATCAAAGGCGACTTCATTCTCAAGACTTGAGCGAATTATCTAAAATTATGTTACCCTTATGTGTCAAATCCTCTAAAAATGGATTAATTTTGGAAGATCCAATCAGCATACACCCGACAAAGACATTTCTAAAGAGTTCAAGTGATATAAACCAAAATTTCTGATTAAAGAAAGAAGGATACTTACCACTCCATTGCAATTTTTCGTGCTATTAAAAGAACATACCATTCACAAGTACCAAAAACTAAATTGTGGTGGACCTTGTTGTTCTCATGTTCTAAAGGGCATAAGGCTATAAATACACTACAATTGGGACCACATTGGTCTAAGTTTGAATTGTGTCATCTAGAGGATAGGGTTGTTACTTAGGACCATTGAAATGCAAACACCTTAATTGAATTAAAAGAGCAAATTAAATTTTCATAAGCATAAAAGATATATTAGTTGAACAGTAAGTAATACCTCCAACACTCTTTAAGAGGAATCATACATCATATTCAGTATTATAAGGCGTATAACTAATAAACAACAACTCATGATATTAGCAATACTGGAATTATTAATGCATGGGCAAACATGTTTAAAGACATAACTATCCCTTGAATAAACCAATCCAAACAATAAATTAATAAAAAAATAATATTATTATTATTTTTATACACTATACCAAACGACTTCTCATACTGTTACAAAAAAAAAATCATGAAAGAGAGACTAGTTGAAGAGTTAAGTATTAGTACCTCTAACACTCTCTTGAAGAAATGTATGGATAAAGCAGAACACACCAAAACAAACCTTAAATCCCCATTTGGAAAAATTGCAAATGAAGAAATACCACCAAGAAATGAAGGACCATATAATAAAAGCATCCCTAATTTACTCTCAATTTTTGCCTTTTTTTCCTTCTTCTTCTTCTTCTCATCATTTTCATTTTTTATTGTTCCAAAGAATTTGGAATATTGCATATGCTTTCCTTTAATTTCTGAAAGTCCAGCATTTGCTAATGAAACAACACTTATAATAGACATTGTAGTAATAAATAAAGATGGTGGTGGAGGATATAGAAATTTCAACAATGTAGACATCACCATTTTTTCCAATTCTTGAAAAATGTAAATTTTTTTGTGTATGTGTGTATGTCTATAGAAAAAAAATGAAAAATAAAAAGTTAACTAATTTTGTGCTATTTGTACTCTTGTTGGATTTTGGTGTATTTGACTAGTTGAAAAAGTAGAATTTTAAGAGCCACACAATTAAGTGGGAGTAACAAATTTGGAGAAATAGAAGGAAAGGGGATACATATTATATATATCTAATAAAAAGTTATGAGTGGTATTTGGAGTGTCTTATTAAAGACCTACGTGGTCACAAATTTTGCCAGTTAAATTTGTAGGTTGATCTAAGTGACAAGGGTCCAAAGTAGGTAACGATTATTCGGGTGCATTAAGCTTCTGCTATATATGTAAGGATCGAAAAAGTGTTGAATTACAAGAACTCATTGTATACATCCTTTTATTGTATTCTACGATTCAAACTCTTGATATTTTGATCACATAATAGTAACTTTACCAATTACATCAAGGCTTCTCTTCACCACAAATAGAAAAAAAGAGGAATATAAATAAAAGGCCTAGAATATGGCACAACATAAATCATAAGGTGATTCCATGGGCATGAAAACAAAGTCTTGCTTTAATACTCCAATGGATATGAATCGGGGTGGATTGAGAAAAACTTGATGGGTTAAAGATTTAGTTTTATCCAATAGAAAATCGTCACGTAATAAATAATAATAATTTTAAAAAAAGTTGTTAGTTATAAGGGTAAAAGTAGGTCAAAAAGGTGGATTGAAGGCTACTTTTAAGTATGATCTACCTAAATCTTATAGTGTTAGAGTTAATTACATTATTTACCTACTTTTCCACATTACAAAATTCCCTTAAAATTTATGGATTTCAGATACATCAGTGGACTTCTGGATACATTAGCAGACATCCAGATATATAGGTGAGGGATGTATCCGAGAGGGGAGGGATGTATCAGAGAGGGGATAGGACATCGAGATACATCATTAGACTTCCGGATACATCAGCAGACATCCGGATACATAGGTGAGGGATGTATTCAGGAGCAGACATCCAGATACATAGGTGAGGGATGTATCTAAGAAGGAAGGGATGTATTCAGGAGGGGGATAGAGATGTATCAGCGAGAGGAGAGTGATGTATCCGAGAGGAGATTTTTGAATTTTTTTTAAAATGGTAGAAAATTTTAGAGATTATGGATAAGATGTGTATTTAGGTCATTTTTCCTATTTTAAACCAAATAGGAATGAGAAGTATATTTAAACCTTTTCGAATAGTCTAGGGGTTACTTTCAACCCTTTTCAGAATAAATAATCAAGTCCCAAAAATTACCAACAAATATATGAAGTCAAATCCCAAAGTTTTTACACATAACTAGTACTATTTATACATTAGTATAAGAGATAACACTAAATCTAGAACATGACCCTAGTTCAATCGATAGATAGATCGAAAACATATTTCTAGACAACAAACCGGTCAAACCAGTAACCAAGTTCATTATCATGTTAACAACTTCAATATGTCAAAAGGTGATTTCTTAAGTTGTATCTCCTTGTAATTAACTTGCTTCCTACTAAATTCTCAGCAATTTCTACAGGATATACAAAATCAGGATCCTTCAATTTATCAACATCTTCTGGTAATTCTTCTTCAATCCATGAAGACCAATCTACCTCATTGTCCGAATCGTCGTTCTCCATTTCCCATAACAAGTACTCCTTGTGTTTTTGAATTCCATTAACTTTTTCCATTAGTGTTTGTAACATCTTATGGTTCAACACTTCATAATCTCTGCAAAAAAAAAATTGTTATGACGGTAAAAATAAGTTTTTGAGCTTATGTTCTGTTTGTTCTGTTTGTTACCTGTATGTCCATATGGAATATAGAAGTTGGCATGAGGCTAATAGCACAAATAGTGACCTAACTATGCTTACAAACCATGCTTGATTCTCCATTTCGTATGATCCGTATCGAAGTA